GGTCGCCAAATCTCCCAGAGTGGTCCACAAATGCTTTCGTGTCTGCACGTTTGGGCTAGCATACACAAAAGTAGCCAGGCATGACACACCTCCTTTGGAGACCCGCACATGGATCGTCTGTCGAGAGTAACATAACACGTCAACTGACACACCCTCCTTCCATACTAGCCAGATACCACCTGAGAAGCCTCGGGCCTCAATCCGAAAGGAGTAATCGAACTGACTAAAGCGAACAAACCGATATGCCACCTCACCACTAATGCGTGGTTCAAAGAGTGCCATAACGTCTGGGTTGTATTGTCGAACAATGGTGGAGAAGGCTTCCCGAAAAGCAGCCGAGCCTGCCCCCTGGACGTTCCAAGTGATGATATTCATGGAAACGATACAGAAACTAACTTAATGAACCCAGACTTAGGTCGAGCCAGGAGAGCTCCAATCTTGAACCGAGTTGTCCATACTATATCAACTATTCCCACCCGCACCCCCCTCCTAATGAGCACACGAGCTCTAAGCGTGTGGTCATAAATATCTAGGAGTGGGATCGTCGAGCATTAAATGCAACCTAAATGTTGAGACCTTTTAATGTACTGATGCAACAGACTCAAGTGCTTGTGATTCTTCACATCGCGAGGCACTACTTTTACTGTCGATTTATGCTAACTGGTGGATCTAGGATCAGATGGTGCTCGACCAACCAACCTTTGGACTGGTGTTGCTTCGCATTTCGAGGTGCATCATCTCACTGTTGGATGCTACAGATTCTTTCATATTTTAATTAAATACAATTACACACAATTCTCCATATTAAGTTATTAACAAAACTAACTTGATCATTGGAGAATCTATATAGGAATCCTTTCAACGTTTTTTCATATATTCTGGTGAGTTAAGTCAGACTGATTTGGAGATTCAAAGAAGGCCGATGACCTCAAGCTCAAAGTGGAGTTATTTGGTAGATCCTAATCAACTAAAATATTGGCTTGATTCGGGAAAATTCATGGAAACTATAAATGTACTTACTATTTTCAATTAGCTGTACACCGTGGACTAAATCAAAGCCGCCTCCTTTTTTTTTTGGCGTATTATTTTTATAGTTAAAGAGAAGGAATCTTCCTTCTGAAGACCACACAATTCAACTAAACAACCATCGACACTGAACTTGTGGTGGTAACTTATTCAATGGGGTCCTCTTATTAAATATACATATTTCTTATTCAAGTTTGTTAAGTTGAAATTAAAGAGAGCAAACCAGCTTTTTTGGTGAGCATAATGGATTTTGTCACCCCACTGATCACCCTCGTCAGTTGCTTAGTCGACTACGTACTCAGGGCATTGACAGCAGCTGGGGACTTGGACCGGAAGATTCAGCTTCTGGAGACGGGCCTCGAGGAACTGATCGAGGTGAGGGATGACCTGAGGAAGCAGGTTGACCGGGCCGAGTCATTGGGCCTCACCCTCACTAGCCAAGTCAAGGGGTGGTTGGAAAGAGTAGACAGGGTCCAGGCCGAGGTAGAATCCATTCGGGACGACCTGGCCCACAAGAGGCTGTGTTGTCTGTCCAGGTGCAGATTATACGGCAAAGTCGAGGAGAACCTCAACTTAGTCGACGATCTCAAAGAGAAAGGCAAACTCGAGGTGGTCCTGCCGGATGGGCTGCTCCTTGTCCCTGTGGTGGAGATACCTTCCAGACCTGCTGTCGGGCTGGGCCCAATGCTGGACAAAGTCCGGCAGCTCCTGGCGGATGAAGACGTTGGGACAGTCGGGATATACGGAACAGGGGGCTCCGGCAAGACAACACTACTCAAGTGTGTGAACAACGAGCTCTTCTCCCGGACCCACGGTTTTGACTTTGTGATCTGGGTCGGTGCCGTCTCAAGGGACATCGTAATCGAAAAGATCCAACAGGCGATCGGGGCAAGGCTAGGCCTGTCTTGGGACGACGACAACCAGTTGTTTGTGGAGGTGCGGGCCTTGAGGATACACAGCATCATGAGGAGGAAGAAGTTCCTACTGCTCCTGGATGATGTCTGGGGAGGGTTCGATCTCGAGAAGGTTGGGATCCCGGTCCCTGATAGGGCGAACGGGAGCAAGGTGATGTTCACGACCCGGTCGGCCGAGGTGTGTGCCCAAATGGATGCTGACCGCACGCTTAGGATGGAATTCCTCGGCGAGGATGAGTCGTGGAAGCTATTCTACCAAAAAGTTGGTGATGTTGCGACCCTTGACTCGCCCAAGATACGGTCCCATGCCAAGGATATCGTCAGGAAGTGTGGAGGCCTCCCGTTGGCCCTGGTCAGCATGGGGCGGGCCATGGCTAACAAGAGGACAGAGGAGGAGTGGCGGTATGCTGTGGATGTTCTGCGCGAGACACCATCTGAGATCCGAGGTATGGAAGACATCTTTGCGCTTCTAAAGTTTAGCTACGACAAGTTGGATAGTGACACTTTGAGGTCGTGCCTGCTGTACTGCTCTTTGTTCCCCGAAGATTTTAGCATCGAGAAAGAACAGCTGGTGGAATATTGGGCTGGGGAGGGTTTCCTGGACGGCGGCCCCGGGAGCGGGAGCAGCAAACCCCGTATCATGGGATACTCAATTATTGGAACGTTGAAAAATACTTGCTTCCTAGAAACAGATGAGGACAACGATTCGCGAATTAAGATGCACGATGTTGTCAGAAGTTTTGCCTTGTGGGTTGTGTCCGGGGCCGGGAAGAGGTTCGTAGCTCGGGCGGGGCAGGGACTTGTGGAGGCACCCGTGGCAGACAGCTGGGAATGTGCAGAGAGAATCTCTCTAGTGGATAACGAGATAACGGAGCTTTGTGGGACTCCCGTCTGTCCCCACCTTTCGACTTTGCTGCTCCAGTGGAATAAGGGTCTGACCAGGATCTCAAATGGGTTTTTTGAGCATATGCCGGCTCTCAAAGTTGTTGACCTGTCGTTCACTAGCATCAAAGACCTCCCGACAAGCATCTGCAAGCTAATTGGGATCCGCCATCTGGATCTTTCTGGAACCAAGTTAAGCCAACTGCCGAGTGAGCTGGGGTCTCTCACGAGCCTAACTCACCTGAATGTGCAGCGCAATCAGTACCTGAGCACAATCCCACGTGACGCACTGTCAGGACTCCACCAGTTGAAGGCCTTGAATTTGTACTACGGTTATTCCAGATGGGAAACGCGAGACGCCAGAGGTTCTGAAATCAGGCTTTTAGACTTGGAAGGCCTGAGGAAGCTCGAGTCCCTAGGGATCACTGTGGTCCACTTATCCACTCTGGACAAAGTCAGGCGAAGTGAATACATACGGAAATGTATACAGTATCTATACATCAAGGAGTGCGAGGGCCTACACTACTTGCCTGTCTCGTCGTATCCTGGGGATGGTGACTGTCTTCGGAGGCTCAGTATCAACAACTGCATGGACCTGAAGCACCTGTCAGTCCACGAGGCAGCAGGCTCGGGCTGGCTGCCAAACCTCGAGATTCTTGCCCTCAACGGCCTTCCAAGACTGACGTCGATTTGGGGAGACAGGGTGGGTATCACCCAAGGGTGCCTCCTGAACCTACGGTGTGTCAACATTTGGTACTGCCACAAGCTGAAGAGTATTTCCTGGATTCTGAGGCTCCCGAAGCTCGAGACGGTTTATGTGTTCTATTGCCGGGAGATGGAGGAAGTGGTTAGCGAAGAAGATGTAACAGAGGGGGACTACTCGAATGTATTTCGTAGCCTAAGAGTGTTGTCGATCAGGGATGTGCCCGTGCTGAGGAGCATCTGCCCCAAGGCTATGTTTTTCCCTTGCCTGAAGAAAATTGCGGTTATAGACTGCCCGAATTTGAGGAAGCTTCCGGTCAGAGCACAAAATGCCTCAGAACTGCCGACTGTTTACTGCTACAGGGAGTGGTGGGAAAATCTGGTGTGGGACAACGCTGAGACAAAGCGTGTTTTGCTTCCCTATTTCATGGAGGCTTGAGGCATGAAGCAACTTCTTGTTGTGTGTTGTTCGTGCGAATTGTATTTATTTACGGGCTCAATAACAGTAAAGTGAAAATGAGTGCTCTTTGGTTGGTAGGCATAAGCATTAAGCATGCTGCTGCCAACAACTTTTCTGTGAGAGTTTGTATTCTATTACTGTTTTGGTGACTACCATATATGCATAAGCAATGGTGAGGCCTTTTCTACTAATAATCTATATCTATCTATCTATCTATATTATTATAAAATGACGAGTGATTTTATAAAAATTTGAACAGACTAAAAAGTCCTTGTATTTGATATACTTTTAATGGATAATCAAATTAAGTATTTAAATTGAGAAGAAAAATTCAATCCCATAGAAAATTTATAAATTTTGGACTCTAATCACGATATTCAAAGAAGAATAAATATCTCCTTAATTGCAAATGGACTTAAAAAAGCTCCGTCCATATTATAAATTAATCGTCTTTTGTTCTACTAGTGAGAATCCCGTACGATACATGGGGTTTTCGTAATGTAAAATATTTTGGTAAAATTTTATTTAAACAATGTATTAGCCCGTTGATCCGTCTATATCAACTAGTACAGAGCCCGTGCGATGCACAGGGTGCACAATTTTAAGGTCATTTATTCATTATTATAATTATATAAATGAATAAAAAAAATGTACGAGATATATATAGTACGTGACCTGTAATAGGCCAAAATGTGAATACAGGTGATGCACGGGGTGCACAATTTTAAGGTCATTTATTAGTACAGAGCCCGTGAGATACACGGGGTGCACAATTTTCTAGTATGTGTAATAAAAATATACATGCCACATGCACGGGACAGAAGCACTAAATGAGTCATTTCCACAGAGCTTGCCCGTTAAGTAGCTCCTAAACACAGGTGCACAATTTGTAGTACCATAAAATCAGAGCATATTTCCATACAATTAGATAATAAATAAAACTTTTTTTATTTTAGTAAAGATTTCACGTACTTTATTTTTTTACTTATCGGATGTTATGGTGTTTTTTTTTGTTAAATCGATTTTGTGGAATATAATACAAATACAATTAGAGGATTGAACAAAATCAGAACAGATTTTCATACAGTTAGATAATAAAAAGGAATTAGATAAGGAAAAGAATGAATTAGATAAGAAAAAGAAGGAATTAGATAAGGAATTTTGAATCTGACTTTTTTTTTGGATAGATAGACTTTACGTACAAATTTTGGCTTCACTGATTTTATGGGATTTATTTTGGCAAAATCAATGTTAATATGGAATAAGACAAATAAATAAAGTCTTTTTATTTTAGTAAAGATTTTACGTCTTTTTTTTTTTACTTGCCATATGTTATGAGATTTTTTTTCTTAAACTGATTTTATGGGATATAAGACAAATAAATAAAATAATTAAATAAAATTCTGGATAGAAATAGCAATGCATTAATTACGTTGACTTTTCAATCTACTAAATTTGGTAAATAGGATACCTTATATAATAAGTATAGATACAAATAAATAACATGCCAAAATTTTAAAGAATAATTAATGTATCTATATATATATTAAAAGCCAACCTATTTACCAAAATAGTAACAAGAAAAGTCAACGCACATTTAATGCATATCTTATTTGGAAATTTTTTACTATATGCATTAAATGCTTGTATATTTATATTTACTATCCAGATATGATCTTAAAGATTTTTTCTTTAAATAATTT